TTTCTGGAAAACTTGAATAATGAGCCCATTCTCCAGCAGGGGTCACCATGAACACATGTCTTTCTATTTAATTGTCTGCAGCAGAATTGTCAGTTATTTTTATAATGCTAGAAGAGAATACTGATTATAATATTAGGTTATTTATTAATTTAGCAAGGAAGAACATATCCATGGTCTCATCCACTTTTCTGGTGATCCTGATAATTCATTGTTTTCAGATGAGCCAAAAAGCCTCTCCCAATGTGTGTGTCCTGGGGAAGGATTCTCCTGACTTCAGGTTTATATACAACAGATGAGATGCCCCAGGTATTGCATTATGTCATTCCTTTATAGCACAGTAAGTTGAGATGGTATTGCGGATCAAGGTAAAATATGAAAGCACAACACACATGAGAGAATCTAGTGACAGGAGTGGAAAATTTCTAGAAAATTTCTTTTACTTAAGTTCTTTTCTTTGTTGATATTATTGCTGTGAGGTTTTAGTCTAAAATAATGGCCTTCCACCTTATTTTGGTCGTTGTGTATAAATAAAATAATTTACAACATAGTAATCATTTAGCCATATTGGTAAATATCCCATGCATGGAGACAATAGGAAGAGCAAATTCCTGCTTTGAGATGGTGTTTATGTTACTAAGTCAGAATCAGTCAGGCACTACACAAAATTGACATTGTCACTTAGTATTGAATCTAAACACATGTTAGCATGCCACATTTAGAATAGTCATCGAGATATATAAGAAGATACATGTAATTGAGATAATCTCATGTTAATCATGGCACACAGCCTTGGTACCCCTTAGCATTTATCTATGATCCTTGTCTTCAGAGCGCTATAAAATATTTCATATTGATGACTATTGAAATTTTATCATAGTAAAGAATAACTTTAAATATTTTGTGATTGTAGAACAAATAGCCTTTATGTTCTAGATTTAAGGAAAATTTATTACATCTACTGATTTATTTATTTGTATCTGTGGGTACGTTTATCTTTAACATGGATAATAAAAACCCAGAGACAGACATTGAAGATTAGAGAAGCAAAGCAGCCAAGCCACCAGAGACCTTTACCTCTACCAAGGCTGGGTGATCCTATCTTTAAAGTGGCTGGAAACTAATTGCCCTGAGACTGAATACTGGATACAGCATGAGATCCTGGGATCCCTCTTATATACCTCTCTAGTGCTGGGATTAAAGGGATGAGCTCTGTTTTTCTTTATAATGATTCACTCTCATGTATCCCTGGGAGTCCTTGAACTCAGAGAGAACTGTCTGTCTCTCTCTTCTGAGTCCTAGTATTAACAGTGTGTGCCACCACTGCCCAGCTTCTATGGTTGCCTAGTATGACTAGCTTTCCATTCTGATCTTTAGTGGCTTTATTAGATCCTAAAATCATATAATCACATGCAGACACATGAATATCATTGCATGCCAAAGAAATTTGACCTCATCAACCACCATATTGATTTCTGGATCAAACTGAAGACATTGGGCTTGCTAGAAAGTGCATTTACCAACATTGCTCTCAGTGTATCATACATTTTCAAAAGTTTGTGATGATTTACCTTGGACAAAATACTGTATATTTATGAATATGGAAGTTTTCAAGGAGTGGAGCAAACAAATAATACAATAATTGGCAAATTATTACTAAAAGGCCAATTTTGGTCCAGTACTTACTTTTAGAAACAAAGATTAATCATAACACATTAAATTTACATTACTGACAGGACATAAGTATTGAACACTGTGTATGACTAGCAGCATGTGACTCCAGGGTATGTGGAAATCTAATATATATATATATATATATATATATATATATATATATATATATATCATAGGTGAAGGTTCCCTGTCGATAGTGAGAACAAACAAGGATATTGTGTGAAACTGAACCATGGTCATACAAACAGTAACTTGGATTTATCTCTCTTGAAGTCCTTCTCTTGGGATTTTCTTTTGTTTCATAAATATATTTAGTGAAATATAATGTAAGTTTTGTGTTGATTATCAGTGAGTTTTTATTGAATGTGCAGTGATTTAAGTCAGTATACTTTTTGCCATGAAATCAGAAACATCCCCACTTCCTCTTCTTTCATTTTAGGCCAGGCATTGGTGGCACACACCTTTAATCCCAGCACTTGGGAGGCAGAGGCAGGCAGATCTCTGTGAGTTCAAGATCAACCTGGTCTAGACCTAGTTCCAGGATAGCCTCCAAAGCCACAGAGAAACCTTGTCTCAAAAAAACCAAAAAAGAAATTTTTATTTTTATTTTATGTGCATTGGTGTTTTGTCTGCATGTTTGTCTGTGTGAGAGTGCCAGATCTTGCAGTTACAGACAGTCATGACCTGCCATGTGGGTTCTGGGAATTGAACCTGTGTCCTCTAAAAAGCTGTCTGTGCTCTTCAAAAAAAAACCCACCTTTCTAGCCTCCCATTTAATTTATTATACCACAGCATGAACTAAAATAATCATGGAAGAACTGTGGTTTCAAATAGATATATTCTTAGTTTAGTGTATACTTTAAACACACATTAAAATTATATTTAATTATACTTTCTATGTGTGAAAATATTTTTTCACAACATTCATAAAAATATTTGAGGTTTGTAATAATTAAGACCTCTTAGCCTAAACTTTAATTGCAAATGGATGTCTCCATCACTTCCATATTATAAAAATGAACTTGATATGCACTATGTGCAGTGGGAAGATACATTTGAGCATACACCTAACATTTTTAGATAAAAGTCATAGAAAAATGGTAATAACTATGGTCCATTCAGCTAGAATATTAATATATTTTATATTACATGGGATTTCTTAGTACATTTTCCTCATGAGATACACAGTACTTCCTTAATAGAAAATATGTTGCTTTTAACAGAGCTATTATGAAGAAATTTAAAATACTGAAATTAAAAGACACCAAAGTAGGCTTATTTATATAGGAAATGGCATTTAGTTTATCACTGACACAAAATGCAGAGTGCAAGGCAAGCAACCCTGCTTGATTACTCTGCTGTGCACACAATACAGAATGTTTCACCGCATAACTCAAGCATATGTGCACTAGTAATACTCTGACTTGATTTCCAGTTTCAAATCACTGTCCTTCCATTAAGTAAATGACTTCAGTATCAAATCTTCTTTTGGACAGCTGACTCTCAGTGGACCATGACTGAACCAAGGTTTCCCGTTCATCACAATTCAGGCTTAGTTTCAAAACTGCATATTTAGGTTTGAGGGGAAAAGGATACAAATTATGTTTTTGAGGATATATAAATAACTTTTTCTAGAACAGTGTTGCTATTCTACAATCCAAACCTTTAAATTTAAATCCAGAGTCTCACATGATGTTTATATTTCCCTTTCACCGAAATTGATTCATGACTACCCAGGATTAGTTCTAAAATGCGTGGTCATTTCTTCATTCTGCAATTATTATTTTTTTAGTAAAATGTAGATACTCCCTTAATAACCCTTGATTTCTCATTGCTATGATATTAATAGAAATGTTATTAATGTCTTCATCTGCTTGAATAGTAAAGCTTGTGTCCTGGAATCCTGACTTGGGTCAGCAAAGGAATGAAGGACAGAGACACAGATAAATGTACAGTAAAGTTGGGATCATGTGGTATTCTGCAAACTCCACAATCCAGAACCTCAACATGTTTATTTGGCACTGCTCATCATGAGAAGTTAGTTTCTTTTCATATGTGGTCTCTGTTGACCAGTAACATCAGAGTATAAACACTCAGGTGGGTGAAGTCATTTTATGCACTGATGAGTTATTCATAAACACTTATACTTGGACTTCCAAGGAGACCTTGAACTCCCCTCTTGAGCCTGGCCCATATCCGAAACTGGCTTTGCCAATGTTTCATATGACCAAAGCCTTGAAGTCCTCAAAATGGCCATGCCCATGTTAACAATGTGCAGTCAATCAGGATTTCACTTACTCAGGGCTCCCTCTGCTGTATGTCATTGTGTATTGATTGTGAACTGCTGGAGAATTAGGCATTAAGGCGTGGACCACTAAGAGATGTGCTGCTTTGTTGAACAGCATATATTCTTGCATAGCTCAACTCTTGCTGAAAGCATATCAGCTTTTTGAGGAGAAGGTGCTGTGGTTTGCACGAAGAGTCATCAACAGTCTCACAAAGTCTCATGAGCCTTCAGGATAGTACATTCATCATGGCCACAGAGCTATAAAGTAGCTTATACACTTTCAGGTCTAAAGACAGAAACCCCTGATGCTGATTCTAATATAGCAAAGAGTAGGAAAGAACATTTTACAAATGACAATGGGCACCATTTATTACAAGACAATAAGTTGACAGTGGCATCTGTTCTCATGTCTGGTCCCTACTGGTAATATGTAGAGTGTTACATGTATTATTTATTCACATACTTTTATATTTTTTTCAAATTGTAAGATGATTTTTATCATATAAGTAACTAAATTTTTCTATACACACAAATATTCTTGTACATTTCTCACCATTGATTGATGGTATAATAAGGTAACCACAGCACAAAATTCTGGGAAACAGGCCAAAGAACCTGTTCTAGCCTTAAGAACATCTACATGACTAAATGAAGGTAACTTCGAAAACATCTTCCAGTTTCTGGAATTGCCTTTGGTAGATGAACAATCATATAATGCTAGCAAGAACTACCTGCCATTGAACATTTATAAACAAAAGATAATGTAATATTAAGAAATCAGAGCCAGTCAGTCTGTGTCCTAGAAAGAAAAAAAAAGTTCTGCAGAAACATGACACAGTGTCTTGATAAACCCCAGAACTTTGTGTCCTGAGGCTGGTATATTGCTAGTTTCTGAGTTGAGACAGCCTTGTAGCTGTGATCATGTCATTTAGCCTCTGCTGTTTTGCATGTAACCAGGAGACAGCCTTCTATAAAGAGGACTATTCAATATTCTGGTAACAACCTCTGTAGTTGTCAGTACCAATCAGGACACAGCACAGACATGAGGGCTCCTGTTCATCTCCTGGGGCTGCTGCTGCTCTGGATCTCAAGTATGGAGGACAACAATGTGGTCCCTGCTGCCAGGCTGTCAGAGAACTCTGAATTACTCTTTAAATGCAATATTACAAGGTTTTATTTTTTCCCTTTTTTCCAGGTACCAGATGTGATATCCTGATGACCCAGCTACCATCTCAGACTGTATCCCTAAAAGACCCAGTCACCATCACGTGTCAAGCTAGTCAGAGCATTGGCAGTGCATTAGCCTGGTATCAGCAAAAACCAGGGAAATCTCCAAACCTCCTGATCTATTATGCAAAAGGTTTGGTAGACGGAGTCCCATCGAGGTTCAGTGGCAGTGGGACTGGGACAGATTTTACCCTCACCATCAGCAGTTTGGAGCCAGAAGATATTGCAACTTATTACTGCCAACAGCACAACAATAACCCACCCACAGTGGAACAAGTATTAACATAAACCTTTGAGCAAAGCAGAAGTATGTGCCTGGGATGCCTCAGCTGCCCCTCTTGGTGATTCTACCTTCTGAGATCATTATTCAGATAAAATTGTCTTCAAATTACACTGAGTGTCTTTGGAATAAGTGTGTATGGAGTTTCCCAGCCCCAGAAGCAAGGACTTACTTATGTTTAGGTTAAAATACAGTTCAGTACTCATGATACATCTGGATCATAGCAGGTATTTGGATTCATGCCACAAAAAAAAAGTCAAGGGAGATTTAAAAAGAAAAAAGAGTAGATGACTGAGAGTCTACAATGAACCTGCCTAAAAGGATTTTTATTGGCACATACAATCATCTTGTATTCCTATGTTAGGGGCTAGGATTTATACAGATTCCTCATAGGTAGAAAGATAAATAGCAGGGCAACAAATAGACAATAAGTTTGCCAAGCTTCCTGAGTATAAAGAGGGTCATCTTTTGTCCCTTTCTCATATGCCTGGTGTGACTGAATGCAAAGGCCTAAAGACCTGGGAGGCTTTCTTCTTCTGCCAGCAGGACGCCTGACTGTCCTTCAAGTTCAAGACTGGATCAAGGTATGTTTTCCCCAAGGTTGTGGGCATATCATCATCCCTGTCTTTGTTCAAGCTGACCAAGCCTTAATTAGGGGAGGAAGACCTTTCAAAGTTTCTTAATGCCACCAGCCATCAAGGAGACACCATACTTCATATGGATTCCACAGGTCACATTCATTATCAGACTTGGGTATGGATGACTTGCTCCCTAATCTTTTTGCCAGGTGCCAAACTCATATGACCATATATTTTATTATTATTTTTATCTTACTGTAGTTGATATAGTTGAGTAGCCTGATCAATACTTCCCACTTGCAGCATAAAATGTTCACTGGTAAAACTTACCTCTTCATGCAGAAAGGCTGTAAGAGCCACAGGTGGTGGATGTCTCCAAAGAAATACCATTATCCAGGCACATGGCGCTGCTACACATGTCATCACAAGCCTGCACATGTTCAAGCAAGACAAAATCCTCATGGGGAGAAGGGGAGGTTAACACAAAGTACAATCCCTAACCAAGAAGCTATTTTCATTAATATCTGATGCCAAAAGGAAAATCAGTTTTTTCCCAATGTATTAATCTCCAATCAAATGTCACAGTCATATATTAGAAAAATATAATTTATTCCACAGTTACTAATTGCATCTAACATTTCCCTACATTTTTAATAAAGATTTATTTAAAAGTCAATTAAGAAAATTTACAACACCCTCTCTGCTCTACTTTTCTCATTTCCACAATCTCTAATTTTCTTCGTTCCCCAGTATGGAAGAGGCACAACAAATGAGTCTCCTGTCCTTACAACATCAAAAGAAGAAAATGCTGTCTATCCAAAAAACCAAATGGCCCATTAAAAATTGGCTCAGGACCTGAGCAGAGAGCTCTTTAAGGAAGAAAAAAAAATGGCACACAAGTATCTCAAAATCTGTTCATTATCCCAAGAAAAATTTAAATGCTGTCAAAGCAATGTTGAGATTTTACCTTTCCCCAGTCTAAATGGCAGTGATCGTCATTATCAACAACAGCAAATCCACAACAAAAGCTTGGGGGAGGTTTGAGGAAAGATAACCCTCTTCACCATTTGTAGCATCTCAGAGTGGTGCAGCTATTATGGAAGTCAATGTGGAGAAACTTTAAAAAGTTCTACCAATACCAGCTATACCATTTCTTTGCATATGTTCAAAGAACTCATCATAGACACTTGCTCAGTGATGCTCATTGTTGCTTTATTCAAAAGAGCTATTAAATGAAACAAAATGATTCAGTGTTTCTCAACTGAGAAATTGATTGAGAAAATGTGGTATATATAGAGAGAATGATATTTTACTTTAAAGAAAAACAAAACCCTGAAATTTGTAGTAAATGGAACTAGAAAATATTATATCCAGTGTGTTTACTTAGACCTAGAGGAACAAATTGCTTCATGATCTTCTGTGTCATCACAGGCTCCTAGCTTCATATCTGTAGAGTTTAATACATATCACATACTACTACAAAACCAAGAAATACAAAAGGGGCACAATTTTAGGGTTGTTGTGTGGAGCAATGGAGAGGGAGATGCCAGGGAGCAAGTAATCTGATTTGGAAATAGAGAAGATGAGTTCATTCTGGGGATTGGGAGAGAAAGGGATATATACAGAAGATAAGAGAAGAGAAAAAAAAGTAAGATTGTCTGAAAAATCTATAAGGATTTATGCTATTACCTATCAATCAAAAAACAAAACAGTCCCTGGGGAGCAGATAAGGTATGGGATAAGTAGGGAATTATTTGGATGGGGGCAGGGAAGGAGGGGAAGGAGAGGGACCTGGGATTAACATGTAAAATAATCTCTCTAATTAAAAAATCAAAAAAACAAAACATGTAATAAACCAACTCTATAATACACATAAGGCTGAGTACAAATGTACATATATAGATTTAATGAAGTTTTCTCACCTGGCCTGACAATTAGACCTCCTAGGGCAAAAGACCATCAAATGTAAATTCCCAACTTCCAGCATGTGAAGCTTTCTTTAGAGTTGTTTGTCACTGTTGTCCCATAGACCCCCAAAACAATACATACAGTTGTAATTGCCCTTGCTTTGATCCATAAAGAAGAAAGGTAAGTGTCTATTGCTGAGGATACTACTCACTTTAGATTCAGGCCATAAAGATCCATGAACTGGAACTCACATGAACACCTCTTCTCTCAAGACCGGCTTTCTTGGTTGCAGAATGCACCATGGAACTTTGCCAGGGAAGGCATCAACCACACCATCCCATAACAACAGCAACAACCAACATGGCATGATGACTTTTGGGGTGCGATGGTGGCACACATACCATGATCATAACCAACAGATCTCTAATTGAACTTAGGACTTGCTTATCAATAGGGAAATCATGCCTGACACTGAAGAGTAGGCCAGCTAGCTAGGGATAGTGGGGTCATGGATATTGTTCTCAATACCAATAACCACTGTTTACCAAACCCACATAATTCGCAATTAGACTCTAAGTATTTGTTTATATATCCCCAGGGCAGTGTTATCCTCACCCCTACTCAAGGATACCTCTTCTTACTTCATAATAATACCATTAAATAAAAACACAACCTATGGAAATGCAGTTAGAGAGTCCCAGTAGATACAGCTATTGAGCAACTTTGCAATCTTGTTCTCCCTCCTTCCCTTCCTCTTCTCACCATCGCCTGCCTCAAAGTCCACCCAGTCCACTTCTCACAAAGTGTAAGGGCTCACATTGGGTGTCCACAAAGCCTGGCCCATGAATTAGAGGGAGGATGAAGCCCTTGCTCCTCCCTGCCCTGTATTATAGTGGAGCATGACAGCCTACCATAGGGAATGGGCTCTATCAAGCTAGTTCCTGCACTATGGATAGATACTGGTTCTTTGGTCAGGGACCCCTTAGTTAGACCCAGTTACAAAATTGTCTCCCGCATGCATAGGGCCTATACTTCAGTCCTATGGAGGCTCCATGAGTGTTGCTCTAGGGGTCCTGTGTTCCCATGAGTTTGGTTCAGCTATCTCTGTAGAATTCCCCTTCATGATCTTGACCCCCTTTGCTTGTATATTCCCTCCTTCCCCTCTTCAACTGGATTCCCAGATCGTGGCTTGGTAGTTGATAGTGGTTTTCTGCATCTGGTACTATCAATTACTGGATGAATCCTTTATGATGACAGTTGGCGTGTTCCCCAATCTGATTATGGGGGAAGGCTAGTCCAGGCACCTTCTCCACTATTGCTGGGAGTGTTAGCTGCAACAATCCTTGTGGATTCCTGGGAGTTTCCCTAGTACCTGGATGACCTTTAACCCTATAAAGGTTCTCCCTACCAAGATATATCTTTCATTACTCTCCAACTTGTCCCTCTCCAAACTTGACTATCTCATTGCCTCATGTTCTCATTCCCCTATCACCTTCCTTTTAATACTTCCACACCCCCGGTTTTCTCATGAGATGTCATCTAATTCTTCTTCCCAGCATGAATCCATGTATATCTCTTAGGTCCTCCTTGTTATCTATATTCTCTGGAGCAATGAATTGTCTGGTTATACTTTGCCTTACATCTAGCTCCAATTTATGAGTGAGTACATACTATGTTTGCTTTTTTAGATTAGGTTACCTCACTCTGGATGTGTTTTTCAAGATACATCCATTTGCCTGGAAATTTCATGGTGTCATTGTATTTTACAGCTGAGTAATACTGCATTGTGTTAATGCACTACATTTTCTTTATCCATTGTTTTGTTGAAAGGCATCTCGGTTGTTTTTCTGGATATTAGGAATAACACTGTTGTGTTTTTTAGTTGAACAAGTGTCCTCATTGTATGATTGAGCATCCTTAGTGTATATCCAAGACTGTTATCAGTGGGTCTTGAGGTAGATTGTTTTAAATTTTCTGAGGAAGCACCATACTTATTCCAAAGTGGCTGTACAAGTTGGAACTCCAACTACTCATGGAGGAGTGTTTACCTTACACCAACCACATCCTCTCCAACACAAGCTGTCCTCAGTGATTTGATCTTAGACATTCTGACAGGCATAAGATAGTATCTTAGAGTTGTTTTGATTTAATTTTCCTGATGATTGAGGATGTTGAGCAATTATGTAAATATTTTTGGCCATTTGAGTTTGTTAAGTCAAGAATTCCCTGTTTAGCTCTGTATTCCATTTTTAAATTGGATTTTTTTTATTTTGAAGTATTTTTCTTGAGCTGTTTTTTATGTATTTTGGAGATCAGCTGTCTGTCAGATGTGGGTTTGGTGAAGTCCTTTTCCCATTGTGTAGGCTGTTGCTTTGTCTTAGTGATAGTGTATTTTGCCTTGCAGAAGCTTTACAGTTTTTGGAGGTTCCATTATTGATTGTTGCTGTCAGTTTCTGTGCTATTGGTGTTCTATTTAGGAAGTGGTCTCCTGTGTCAATTCTTTCAATGGTACTTCCCACTTT